AATTATTGATTAGACAAATATTCTTTTTAACGCGACATTTTTGTTTGCTGGGAAATGTAACGGGGATAGGATACAAGTAACGTTTCATTTCTGTGAAAGCTGTTTTGAATACAGCGCGTTCTTGGACTTTTATCCCATCTTCCCCCTTTTCTGGCGCAATGTACCACATAATAGAAGATGGCAGGCAAAAGTGCACATTTATAGAAGTACAACGGAATTTACATCGGGTGTACAGACATCTCCGTGTCGTTTCTGCTGAATCCGTTATTGGGCGAGTGCCACGATGGACCTGCACGTATGTCACTTTACAAGGATGAACATGAAACAAACACACTCGCGACAGTTCCCATTCTGGTGATTCTAAAAGTTCAACCTTGTAAAGAAATGACACACACGGAAGAAATGTTACAAGTTGATCTTTAAATTTGTAAACAACGACACGATTTATTTATTTATGTGTAGTAGTTTTTATATTAAGAATTAAAATACGTATTGCAGAAAAGAGAGAAGGAAATGGAAAGAACTGCGTAATCGACTAAAATATATTCTTTATTTTCTTCATATAGAAAGAATAATTTTACTAAGTGATAGAAGTATCTAAAGAAATATTTAAAAATTTGATCAGATTCAGATCTAAAAATAATTTTGTTGGGCCATCAATATAATTATTTTAATGAAATAAAAAGATATTTTCATATTTATATCTGGTCATATTTTCCTCTTTAGTAAAACTTTCTTTTTGTATTAATATTCGCTTCAATTATATTTTCAACATGTTTTTAAAATTAGTCCATTACTTACATAGAGAAGAACATTAATAATCTTGAAAAATACTTTAGATTCTCTCTCTCTCTCTCAAATATAAAACAATATTTTTCAAAATTTGTGATTAATTCTAATCATCGATATTTTTATTTGAGAGATAGAAGACTAAATATCTCTGAGAAATGTATTTCTTTGTTTTTACAAAAAAATATATTCCATTATTCCCTTTGAAAAGTAAGTTTTAAAAATTACCACTTCGATGGGCATCAAAAAGGAAAACCGT